ACATCCCTGAGTTTCAAGTTCCAAAAACAATTTCTTGTCACCTGCTCCACGCCAATTTTGTCTTTTTTTAAAATTCTCTACCAATTTCCAAAACGCAGATTCTACACTAGCATAATTAACATTCGTTTCTGATCAGCCTTGAAATTTCAGGGTTTATCACACCACCAGTTTAGTTTTCAATCATGTAGTTCAAAAATCACTGCAGATAAGGCTGGGAGGGCTGCAGAATTTTGTGTGATATTTGGAGAGCTCTGATCTAGAAATAGCTAATAACACTCGTGTTCGTATCTCATCAGACTGAACTTGGTCACATGTCCCTTAACGCATAATTTCAAGGAAGTTTGCGAACTTTGCAGAAGCACAGACATGTTTGGGATTGTGACTATCTTACAAAATCCTCTTTTTGTCCTTTTCTTCTTTACTTCCTTTCTCTTTGCATGTGTGCATTTACATATCTATATAGATATACATATAAATATACCTCTACTATATATTACATAAGTATAATTTTATTATATGTTTCATGTATCATATAAATGCAATTCCTGAAAATATTAGAAAATATCTGACTCAATTACTCATTGATCAGAAGTCCAATAATATCCATTCCAATTCTTCAAAACTTCTAGCATTAGACTGAAACAAATAAGCGAAGACTCCAGAATGAAGATCTAGGACCATCAAACCTTTGTCAAAACAAAATCCTAAAAAATATAATTTGGAGTCAAGTTATGGAAAACTGAACAGGTTCAACTTTGTGCTTAGGGGGAAATAGACTTTCAGAAAAAATAATCAATGGAAGAGAAATCTAAATTCAGAATAGTTTAAATGATGGCCTATAATTCAAGAAGATCACTGATGAAAGATAAAGCAATCACCACGAAATCCTAAGTGGCTGAAATAATAGCACACTTATAATATTTCAGAGAAAAGAAAAGGCCATTGATGTCAAAGTAGAATTTTTAATATGACCTTGGGAATCTTTCCTCCCATCCCTAGTCTATACTTTTGACATCTTTAAGTTAGCAAACTCTGGAAAATGCAGGAAGGTAGATGAAGTTCTACACAAATAGCCAAGATGTGATGTGAGTTCTTTGAGAATTCTGTGAGGAAGGACTTTGAGAGGCCATAGGGGAGTTTGGTAGCAAGGAGGAAAGGGGTTGGATCACAGTTTGGGCTGATCTGGAGATGTGCTGGGACAAAGGGGAAACACAGTGGTGCTCCATACACTTCTGAAATTGGCTTCTCAGCCTCCATCGTGATGTACTTCCACTGTGGGAGTTACCCTCCCTGAACAGGGCACCTTGTTGGTATTTTGGGAGTTCAGACCTGCTGTCCCCTTCCTGAGCTGTGCAGTGGCCCCGCAGATCTTACGCACAGCCCGGTCCGCCCTCATTCTGAGCGCACTTCCTCCTTCTGCTCAGCTCCACCTTGCGCAACCTGCTGTTCTCTGGGCTTCCTTTTAAACCCTTCCCTTGATTTTCTATTCCATTCTGCAGGGGACACAAAGCAACTGGATTCTGAGTGTGCCCAAAACTGGACTCTGGTTCATCTCCTGAGATAACAGAGAAATACAAATATTTTTTTTCTGTGCTTGTGGAGTTCATGTCTAGTAGAAGAAACGAGGAAGAAGACACATGTACAGGCACTGCTACAGATAGCTCAGGAAGAAGACACAGGGACAATAGTTTCCTGAGCAGTTTGCTGGAGGCTTGCTAAAACCGGAGACGTTTTGGGGGTGGGATTGATAGGTTTGAAGAACATTTTGATTTATAAAGAGATGAACTCCAAATAAGCCAACATCACCAGAAATATTTTTGTCTACATCAAGGCTTCTTGTGGTGTGGTGTATACTGCCAAATGGCTAACTCATTTCCCTTGCAGTATCCCCAGTACACCTTCCTATAATGCGACTGCTTGCAAGTCTAACTGCATTTCCCAGACTCCAGAGTAAGTGCCATTCTTACACGAGGGAAGGCGGGCATGATCTTCTTGTAGAATCGTGGCTCCTACCACGGCAACACAGGCTCAAGGCACTAAGTGGTGGTGCCACTTCTGTGCCCACCAGTAATCTGTGGGATGTTTGGTATTTCTCACAGATGAATTGCTTTTGGCTTTTTACATTTCAATATTATCTTGGCTGTCTGGTTCCTCTTGGAAATTCTTTTATCTACCTACAAAATGTCTATCAGCCATATGCACCTAAGAGGATTCTGCGGTCTGTAGCCAAAACTCTGACGAGTGCTTAAGAAATGTTAAAAGTCATTTTGTGAAATCAGAATATATATCTGCAGGATTAAATGATGCTATAATTTGGATTCTGAGTGACCCTCAAGAGCATACCTGTTGAAAGCTTAGTCACCAGCCTGTGGCACATGGGGAAGTGGTGAAAATCTTTAGGAGATGGGGGTCTAGTGAAAGAAAGTTAGGCTGGGGATTTAGCTCAGTGGTTCTGCCACCCACCTCACAAGCACAAGATCCCAAGTTTGATCCCCGGTACCAAAA